ATTTTGACCTCAAATTTTATTTGGGACATCTACACCCTATTTTAGTAGGGCCATTTTAATTTCATTGAAATCGAAGCAAATTTTTCTGCTAACTCGTAAACGGCTTGAGCTAGGTCAAAACAGACAGCGGATTTGGCTTCGCCTCGTTTCTAACACTCGAAGACCACTGTTCGATTCACCCGGCTGACCTGATATTTTACTTTATTTAGTGATAATAAACATTAAACTTTGCACTTTTCCCAATCAATTTTGGCACGGTAGTGTTCAGCTGTGCTTCAGGTAGTCCGCTTTCGGTCTGCTCTCGGCGTGCGGACCAGTCCGCGATCAGTCCGGTGCGCACCAAAAGCGGACTAGTTCCAGCCGGACTAGTCCGGCAAATAGGTCGTTTTTTGGTCGATCTGGCCTTTTTCGCGGACTAGTCCGCGCGCTTTGGCGGACTGATGACGGACTGTCCAGCCGGACTCTTTCCGGACCGAAAACGGACTGATGCCGGACTAAACTTTTTCGTACGGGGCGCAGCAGCAGCAGCCACAGTGTAAAATCAAGCACTGCCTAATTTTGCAGCCTGATCAGTGTTTTATTTGCCTTTCAAGTGACCACAGCCTAGAATCAAAACTAATGGCCGGCTGCCAAAAACCTCAGCGTGGAAATCAAAGCTCTGTTTGTTTTTGTTTTTTTTTGCCGTGCCGCTGAGCACTCATCTGCAACAATAACGACTCGAATCAATGATTTCTCATCCCCGGCGACACGAAGAATTCCTCATCCCCCGGCGCTTCCCGGGAACGATGTCGCCGGCCTAACGATGCTAGCAGTTAGTTATCGCCCAGCACGGATGGCCAGCACGCTTCCCGTCCGCCACGTCACACAAGCATTCCCAAACGTTTCCAGCGGTGCGTCCGCACCGGGGCTTCTGTTTGCCCCGCCGCGCCCTCAGACTGCGCAAGCACAGACTGGTCACGATGAACAGTTGTAACAAAGCAACGTCAGAACGTAAATACTTTTAAAGGGAAAAAGATGATGAGGTCGAATCTCGGCTAAACGAAAGAGCACCGCGTCCCCTAGTTTTTCTTTGGACAGTGTAGCCTGCACTGCAAATCGTCCGGGGCTCTCTTTGTCATCGGGGCGACCCTGAGCACGGCTTTGGCATCATCGAGACGTCACCAAACTAGGGCAGGCAGGCAGGCAGGCAGTGCAATGCCGGGGGTGTTTGCGCATCCGTGCCAAATTGTTTCTGCAAAGAGGAGGACAACAAGAGCAATTGTGGGGGGGTCACGGGTCAGTCCGGTCAGTCAGGCAGTGGGGCTCGTCCACGTGGCAGCGGGGCGGCCGGGGGGGAGGAGGAGAGCCACTATAGCAAACACTTCGTCATTTCTTTTCAGTTTTTATTTTTGCTTTTGTGGTTCGTCTCCCTTGCTGGGTCCAGTTATCGTCTTATGACGTACCGGACAGTGTCGTAGCCGAGATTGCCATGAGAGGAAGACAGATTCTCTCTCTCTCCCTCTCTCTCTCTCTCTCTCTCTCTCTCTCTCTCTCTCTCTCTCTCTCTCTCCGACATCACGTTGTCTTGCCTGCTGCTGCTTTGGTGGTGTGTTCATCCCCATCGCCCGCACGCAGCCCTCCTTCCCGAAAGCAAACTTCCTGTTTACGCGGACAACAGTTTCGCGCCGCCCTCCGTCCCGACTTGGTTCATGAACGATTTCCCCCCTATTTATTTGTTCCTAGTTTATTGTGACGCAACGCAGCGGGCCGGTAGACGGGTCATGGGACGTTGACTTCCCCCGCCGAGATAAGTCCGAGAGGGGGCGCGTTCAACGGGGCAGAGATACACCTCAGACGGAGGAGGAGGAGGGGAGAGGCCGCCAAGGTGATGGTGATCCTGCAGCGGTTACGTCCCAGAGTGGACCCTTCCGAACGTACCAACACATTAACTGGGGGGGGGGGGGACGATGTAAATGTCCCATGGCCTGCATGGGATATTTCCTGTCTAGGCAAATACATGGGGCGTTTCGAAGATAAACTCGAGGGAGAGGAGTACGTATACGAGACTGTCTGTCCAAGCAAAAGCGAAGACCACGAGTGAGCGAGAGAGAGAAAGAGAGAGAGAGAGAGAGAGAGATAACGGAGAATGACCGGCCCATACCTGGCTATTGACTTTACCGATACTTATTTGCCATGGGTCGACAAAGGGAGTCTCGCGCGTCTCCCCATAGGCGGGTCCCATGTGCAGCGAGTCCGCCCCATGGCGAGCCCCATGGCGTCCGCACCGCCATCACGGACAACAAGATAACAACCCCTTCCTTTCCTTCCGTTCAAAGCGGCAAGGTTGTCAACGCGATAGCAATGAGTTCAAACAAACCGCCTTGTCGCCTCTTAGCACTCACGTTTCTGCTTTTGAAAGTGAGAGGAAATAATACTCGTCTTTTTCCTGTGATGGGGGTAGAGGGAGAGAGAGAGAGGGAGAGAGAGAGAGGGAGAGGGAGAGAGAG